TGCGGTAGTGGGTTCCGGCGGTGCAGTGGTGGTCTGGTGCGGTGATGGTTTAATGCGGTTGAAAACAAAGAAAACGTGTTTTGAAAATTTTTGTCAAGTTATAACTGAAAACACCCAAAACGACAAAAATTGTCGTTTTGTGTTTTCTTTCAACCCGTTTTCAGAAATGCGTTTTCGAAAATAGGATAGAGAATGCGTTTTCACTGTTTTGAAAAATCGAAAACAGAAAACGGGTTGAAAATAGCAAAGAGAACAGGCCCTAAGGTTCCTTCATGAGAAGAGTGTGGAAGAAAATGGACACCTTGTAATTAACAAGAGTCAATGTAATGTGTGGACTTGATCTTACTTTATTTGTCTTGTGTATTTCGTTAATTTTAAATGCATATTTCAAATAGGTGAGTAAATCAGTGCTGGAAATGTTCGATGTAATCCAACAACTGTTACTTGAAAATCTAGAAGAAGAATTATGGTTGAGTTCATAACACCACAACGATATTGATGCGGTAAAGTATTATATTTCCAGAAGAAAATGGACACATCATAACTAATGCAGGTCGATATAATCTATGCTTTTACTTATGTCATCCTATGTGTTTTATAATTTTTAATGCATAATTGTGTTGGTAAAATAAGGATGAAGTTTATTTTTTATCAACAGCTTGTTAATTCACACAATAAACAGCAAAGACGAGTTCTTATAATGAACCAAACAGTATTGATTTCTTGTATTTGGATGTGATGCCCTTCGACCACAACACTAATACAATTTGTTAAAATGAATTATTGTTGTCGAAATTCGAGCTATAAGCAATTATCCAAAATTTGTGAAATTTCCTTATTGCAATGAGCAGTTTTGATAAGGAGATACTTAAGCGAATTCATCATTGCTTGGTTTTCAGAGTTATTAAGATGCCGCATATGCTGATGAGTTGGCGAATTTAAGGGAGCATGGTTATGTTGGCGAAGTTTTGGTAAGTGTTGCCATAATCTCGTAAGTTTATTTATTAAATTTTCACCTTCGGTCATTATCATTCAACTTCACTGGGATACACTACATGCTATTCTAATTGGTTGCAACTGTAGACATTTATTGGGGAGTCGTAAGCATGGGATGTTTAGCAACTTCAACTGAATATATTTCCTATATCTATTAGGCCTAGCCCAAAATAGTATTTATATGAATTTGTATAAAAGAGAATTAGTGTATGCATGTTTTTTTACTTCACCTTATCCTTGTGCGGATCCAATTCAAAACTTTTTCACTATCTGTAAAAGGCTGTAAAAGAGTTAAATATTCAGTTTTTATTCCTCTCTGGAGATGGATTTTTCTAGAAGTTGGACTCCATAATCTTCAATAGTAGTACTCAAGCATGTTCCATTCTTGCTAAGTTCATTTGGATTTGGGGGATGGCCAACTGTTTGGTCATTGCAGCATGGACATGGGAAGGGATTGTATTTTTCTCATGCCCCCATGTCGGTTACCAGTGACTTCAAACTGGGGGCTATCTTAAGGGCTCCAACAAGATATATTGGAATCTTTCTACTCTTAACTTATTTGCTTCTTTTTCTTCTAGCAATAATCCAAATGTCTGCAGCTTTTAATACTTGTTAGCCATAGTTAACACTGAAATGCCATGTATTTTTATGAAAAAATATATACATTGTAGTCTCGCATTATATATACTTTGAACTTTGTTTGTATTTAAGTAAATGAAATCTCTTTCATGCATAAAAGGAAAAAAGAACAAAAATATAATTCCAAATAGTCCCTATGTTTTGGAAAGTGACAGTTATGTGCTTTCAAGTTGAATTGAAGTGGAGAAGGGGTCCTAAATAACAATGATGAACTAATTGTCAGATGTGAAACTTGTTTAAACTCAGAGCTTTGTTCAAATGTTATCTCATACTTATTTGGGCTCAAGCGCGTAGGTTCTCATATTTCACTCCACTCATGTCTGAAGTAAAACTAAAAATACTTAAATCATTCATTTGCGGTGGTTTGAGGTCGAGTTTGTAAGTAATCGTTCATACCACTACTATTACTCTTTCTAATGGTTTCATTTTGCAGCCTGTATTAAGCATTCCTTGGATTTCAAGAACTTCGTCTATATTGCTTAAGCTGTTAGATTTGGTCTTCAACACTTTCTTGTGCATACTTATTATAGAGAGTAATATTGTGTCATGACATGAATACTATGCCTCCAATTGCACAATATTATGTGTCTCTCCAACTCCCTCTGTTTCATTATAACATCAAAGTTTCTTTGAGCAAGGTGGATTTGGTTATGTGAAGGAACACACACGCATAAATTTCGTATGATCTTGGCATTGATTTTTCTTTCTTGAGCTAACTTATGATTTCTTCCTATGCTAGAAGAAAATCGAAGTAGATGAATGTCATGCCAATAGTTAATTTCATAGCTAATTTCGGTGGAGATTTCGTACAATTAATTTTGTTCTTCCATTCATATTGAAGATTTCAAACGCTTTTGCAAACTAGGCAGTCATACCTCAGGTCACCCAGAGTATACATTGACATATGGCATTGAAGTTACATTCGGTACAAATCTAAAGCATATCGATTGGGATCTATTTGTATAATCCAACGTAATCTTCATTCAAAGTAGGTTTCATTTTCCACCGAAATCCCACCAAATCAAAATTCAACATTTTTGCATACATAATATCACCCACTACATGTGCAATTAGGGGTGGGCAAAAAAATCGAAAAATCGACCAAACTAAACCGACTCGGGTCGGTTTGACATAGTTATTGGTTTGATTTGGTATTATTATAAACAAAACCACTATGGTTCAGTCTGGTCATGGTTTAAAGTCTTAAACCATTCGTTAACCGACCCAACCCACTTACACATGCTTCCATTTTTATTTTATTTTTTTGAAAAAGAAAAGTCAAAATCCAAAGTTTAATGATGTTTTCCAGAATGTGGAGGTGCTCAAGCTATTTCTTTGAGTAGTCTTGTTGAATACTGTATAAACATTTTGTTTTATGATGACACTTTCAAGGAAACATTGATATTATTTTATATTCTTTATAACTGTTTCTGTTGGTAGACTTTGTTTTTAGTTAATTTTTTTTATATAGCAAGTTTTACTTGTGATAAATTCGCCTTCTGAAAATGCATATTGAGATAATGATTATGGATTTATGATTATGGATTAGTTACAATATTGAATCTTTTTAATTATATATTATGTTTTGATTCGTTAATTAAAACTTAGATATTGTGAAAACGCAGGTTGCGATAATTATTTTCATTCTTTGAAAACTGAAATTTCAAGTATGTTTTTAGTTGCTATATGTTGTAATTCAAATAAAAAAATTGTATAAATCAAAAACAAAATTATATGTATTATAAGTGAGCTAAAATCGAGAGTTTTTTTTTTTTTTTTATAAAAGTTCAATTTGGACGAAATGTGCAACGCACGTGCATTCACAAGTAATCTTTGAAGAGAAGTTTGGGAATGATGTAGGTGAGATGTCTTGCGGGGTTAGGGTGAATACATCCAATTAAAAAATTGTTAGTGACTTGATTTTTGAATTAAAACTTAAAATGTAAGGTTAAAGTAATTTTTCGTTTATGTATTTCAATAACAATTTCTTAAAATATTAGCAAATAATTAATTGTAATAATTCAAAATGACCAAAGAAATCATTTTAACTGTCGACGGCGAAAAACATCACGATGTTATACTTTTCAGAGTATGTTTGGCAAAGCTTAAAATTCAATTAAAATTAAAAATATAACCGTCATTTGGTCCCTCTCGTCTAATAAAAGTCAACAATAACGACTAATTTTTCAATTTTAATCTGATTTTAATCCCTACCGTACACGTCCTCAATATTATTTCATATCAAAAAATACACCCAAATACTAAATTAAACAATTGAATATGTACTATTCAAAGCAACACAACATCAAATCAAAAAATAATTAAAAGTGAGAAGAATATCTTATACAAAACTGTATAATGCTAGGGTTGTTTTGAGCATGCTTTCTTATACTTTGAGATGAAAAACATATTTGAAGTAAAATGTACATTTGACTGCGAGTATGAAATTTGCATGAAAAAATAAATTACAGGGAATTCAATTACGTAGAACTTATTTTTATGAAAATTATTAATTAAATGTATTTGATTGATTTAGTTTTCAAATTATAAAATACTATATTCATCTATTTTTTTATTTGTGGATAGTTGGGAGAGAATGGATAGATCGAAAAAATTGTCAATCAAACATCTCGAAAGTAAAATTTTGGATGAAAAGTAAAATGTGCGGTGAAAAAGTGATGAAAAATTTTAGAATGTGTGGATAAGAATGGATGCCAAATAGGCTGAATCAAAATTTTGGAAAAATAAAATAAAAATAAAGCCCATGTTTGGCCCCCATTAAATTCTATTACATTACATTAAATTTTTTTCTCGAATAATATTACTTGCAGTCGCTCACTGCAATAGTCACCCTATGTGGCACACACATGTCAAGTGTGTATTTGATACATTAAATGTGATAAAAAACTACCACATTAATGTATCAAATAATTACATGTCATGTGTGTGCCACATATGACGACGGTTGTAGTGAGCGACTGCAAGTAGCATTACTCTTTTTTCTCTTTTCATTACAACCACACATTCATCAATCAAATAAAATAATATTACACACAAATTTAAAACTTTTCACTACTTTTCCACCATACATTCTCCCAATCAATCACCATTCCAAAAATTTCCGAGGCCAAACAGGGGCAAAATTCCTTCACTTTTCTTAAAAAAAAAAAAAAAACCATTTTTATTGAGAGGAATGCTGCCCACCCAAATGAAACCAAATCTTGGCTGTCTCCACCTTGGAGCGTCGGAGACTCGAAGCTAAGTAGTCCGATCAGCTGAGTATTAGGGTTTGTTCATCCTGGGAATGAAGTAAAATGTCTCGCCAAATGACGACTTCCGCTTTTCACAATTCCAAAACCCTCGACAATAAATATGTACGCACACCAATTCTCTATACTTTTCTTTTTCTATGTTCAATTTAATACCCTAATTTGATTGATTTCACTCAAAAAAAATGAATTGCAGATGCTTGGAGATGAGATAGGGAAAGGTGCATATGGAAGAGTATACAAGGGTTTGGATTTGCAAAATGGGGACTTTGTTGCAATCAAGCAAGTCTCTCTTGAGAACATTGCTCAGGAGGACTTAAACATTATTATGGTATCTCAATTTTCTTCCTTTTCACCATTTCCCTGACTTATTTGCTGATTTTTATTGTAATTTCTTCCCCTGAATTTGTGGCTTTTCCTTTTGAATAATGCTGTTGTTGGACAATTGGATGCTTGGACTTGACAGCAAGAGATTGATTTGCTCAAGGTAACATCCTGCTATGTTTATACGTACATACATACATTTGTGCGTTCACACACATTTTATTCGGGTCTCTCACAGTCCCACTATATTGAATTTGAATCTCCTGCATCCCTCGATTGCTTCACCCTTGAAGTAAAGGAAATAGAGTATGGACCTTATCTTAACTACTATTTCCCTCTAGATTAGGGGAGAAAAAAACTGCATCTCAACCTAGCTTAAGGCTTGAACACGTGAGAGCCCTCTATTTGACTGTGGATCTGTGCTCCCAAGAGGATTAGTTCAAGCAGTTAAACACACATTCATGTACACACTTGTTAATCAATTGCCTGGCTAGTGAAAAGAGCTACCTGTATTGTTGCCTGCGGTAATGCATACTTTTGTTGAACTTCAACATTCATTCCGCTATGCAACTTTGCTCTTCTTCTTTCCAAACTGGTCTTTTCTCTAGAAGTCTCAGGACTGTTCGGGAAATTGAACTTATGAGAAGCTAACATCCTCATTTCGCTAAATATTTGTCACTCTTTTTATCTTATCATGTTCTGCACCTACCATTATGAGCTGTTGATGTTTTCCACTTCAGTCCAATTTTCTGCAAATATTGGACATTTGGAGTTCTATTATGTTTTTTTTTCCACTTTTCTCTAGCTGGATGGTTCTCTTTCTCTTGCAGAATTTAAATCACAAAAATATTGTGAAATATCTTGGATCTTTGAAGACAAAGACTCACCTTCATATAATTCTCGAGTTAGTCAAGCTTACAAGATCTTCAGTATTTTTTAACTTATTTACTTGTACAGAGATCACAAGAACTTATAAATTTTATCACTTTGTTTTATAGATACGTGGAGAATGGATCACTCGCTAATATTATCAAGCCCAATAAATTTGGCCCTTTTCCGGAGTCCTTGGTGGCCGTATACATAGCCCAGGTCTCAGAAAGAAAACCTCATTGTTCATTAGCTATTTTATGTTCACTTGCTTTGCTTGTAAATGTTCAGCAATATAATTGTTGTCAGGTACTTGAAGGTCTGGTGTATCTACATGAACAAGGTGTCATTCATCGAGATATCAAAGGGGCAAATATTTTGACAACAAAAGAGGTATGTATTTCAATTCTTTTTAGAGTGTTTTTCTGCTTTCTTGCATCATTTTGTGCCAAGGATAATTTCTACTACGATTTGCTTTTTGTTTCTGTTATTGATTTAGCCCCTGTTAGTTTAGCTAAAAATCAAGTTATTAGTAGATTTTGATGAAGTTGATGAAATGCGTGGATAAAAAGTTGATAAAAGTTGTGGGTCCCGTGAAATGTGTGGTCGAAAATGAATTTGAGGAAAAATGTGTTTTAGAAATTGGGGGCCAATCAAGGACTTAATTTTAGTTAAAAAATTTATCTCGATTCTTCTGCAGTTGATGCTTGATATGAGGAAAATTGTAATTCTATTTAATTTTTTGATTTAACTCTGATCTTATCATGAATCAGTTGTGATTTTTTTTTTTATTAAACTAACTTATGTTTTCAGGGACTTGTGAAACTTGCAGATTTCGGGGTTGCTACAAAACTGACTGAGGCAGATGTGAATACACATTCAGTTGTTGGAACACCGTACTGGATGGCCCCTGAGGTATTGCTTTGCTGTCCATTGTTGGCATTTGAACCTGATAGCCGTTTCATGAAGTTGAGAATTTAGTGTCTTTGCTTGTTATTGGGACCACAAAGACTTTTGTCCTATGGTTTTATGAGGGGTGAGATATACTGTTGGCAAGTAAAATTTGCAAGACCTTTCCGTTAATAATATGACAAGCTGAGTTTTTAGGCTATGTTCGAGATGAACTTAGGGAAGTTATGACATTGTGTTTGCAGCTTCCAATTAATTCAAGACCTATTTGTTGTTTAAAGAGTGGTTTGATGTTTTTTTTTACTATTTTCCTGAATAGAAAAAAAATGGCTGAAAATTGAGTATCAAAAATTTGTCGATTGGAGTTTGATTTGAGGTTGTGCTGTTGATTGTGTCACTTGGTTTATGGGGAGGGGTTGCAAAGTTGTTGGATAAATATTTGTTTGTGTTTTGTGATCTTTTTTATGTATGCTGTTAAGTATCAAGGGAGTTTTCTGCGGAGCTGGCTGTGCTGCTGCACAGATTCTAGAAGTCCCGACGTGGCAATAAAAGGAGGAGGTTGCAGAGTATTGATGTTTTATGATGTCAACAAAGACATAGTTCATGCTTGGCCAAAGCATAAAAAAGTTCACTTTTAAAATAAATAATTACTTTGTTTGTCAAAACAAGCAAGGTACTTTGTTTGCCAAAACAAGCAAGTTACTATTAATAGCTTTGTTTGCCAAAACAAGCAAGTTACTTATTTTCAAAGCAACTCATGTCTTACTGTCAAAATAAATAGCTTTTTACTTCAAGTGTTAGAGAAATTAATGTATCTAAACATGTTCAGAGCCTAGTTAAAAGTATCTTTGAGGTACTTACTTTTAGCTTACTCAAACTCTGGTAGTGCCAACTGCCAGCACACGTTAAATGTTACCTTGGAAGAGTTACTATTTATTTATCGAGTGGAAAGTATTTCTAACCATTGGCATGAGTTGTGCGCATGCATGACAGTGTGAGGCAATAATAGGGTTTAGTACAATTGTGAAGCCATTTCAACTCATCTCCTAACTAGGAATTAAAAATAGCATGTAATGAAATATAATATGTTTAAATGTTTAAACTCCTAGTATTAATTACAATACACAGATTGTGTGGAACTTAAGAATAACGATCAAAATTCATTGTGTACAAGCAAAAAGATTTAGTCGATTTGCTGTATATTTCTGAAACCTCTGTCTCATCTGACTATAAAAATTAAAAGGTATAGTCTTACTAGTAAATGCTATTACAACCTGTTCATTATTCACTCTCTTTGGTTTGAAGCACTAATTCCTTAGGTAGATGTAATGGTAACTTTTAGGAATTACCTGTCTGTAATTTATATTTTGCATTTTCTGTAAATCAGCATGGTGGTTGACAATGTTTACCAATCTTCATAGTTTTTTGGTTCTAGCATAAACTTTGTGATGCACCTGATGCTTATGCCTTGAGGCACGCATCACGAGGCATTCATCAGGAGCCTGAAATCTTATGCTTTTAAGTAACTCTTTGTTGAGAGTTAAACCTTGACTTACTAAGTTGCAAGCCTTGGGGCATATGGGGATTGCACTCCTTACCCTTGCTCTTATTGGATGTTATTCTATAGGCCTTACTTTTTGCTATTTTCTCATGGCGGCTAGCACAGAATGTTTTAAATGTCCTTTTGGGTTGTTTTAAACACAGTGCAACCCTGAGAATGAAAACAAAGTTGGAGATTAGAGAAGATAACAAGTGAAGAGCCCGTGTGTGTGCCCTATCCCTCTATGCATACAAGACATCTGGTGTCCGGTGATGACCAGTTGTTTCATTTGTTTTTTAGACTTCAGTTTTAGTGCATGTTTGGAAGTTGTTTACAATCAATTTGAATAAATAGATAGAAATGAGTGATGGATAAGTGGATACAACTTGTGGGTCTCTCAATAAAACTGGTTTGACTGATTATTAGCCGTTTATAAATATGAACCAAACATGGGCTGAGACTGGGTTGGGCTTAGCAGTCTTGTTGTGTGATTACTGTTTTGTCAATATATTGTTTGCCACTTGTCGATCCATTTTATATTTCTAGTTGCAAATTAGACTTTTAGTTTTGTTGATTTTTCTACTTTTTTATGTTTTTCTAGACAGTTTTATGATTTATTGTGAGTATCATCCTTATTTTTATAATATTTTGCTTTTTATCAGTTTATATTGAGGCTTACGCCTCAAAGTGCCTTGAGGCTTAGACCTCGCATATTAAGTCAATACCCAATTTAACATTTTTAAACAAGGTCAGTAAGTTTCTTCTCTCCCGACTTTTTGAAGATTTGACAGTGAATTAAACTAGCCCCTGTTTGAGTCCCATTATTTAAACATTCATTTTTCTCCAAACTCATTTTCAACTACACATTCTCTCAATAAAACAATTTTACCCATAAACCCAAAACTTTTCCATACTTTTTAACCATACATTCTCCAAAAAAATACTATTACAAAATTTATTCTCTCAAAAATGGGGCTCAAATAAACCCCAAACAATCACAGTCAGGAGCATCTTGTTTTCACCATCAACCAAAAAAGTTTCTGTTAAGGATAAACTACGTTAAGGCAGCTAAAGTTGCTGGTAATTTGCCGAGAGGTTTCTCTGTCCTGTTTCTAATAGAAGTAGAGAAAGTGTTCTTTTATATAGACCACAAACGATGTAGGATTGATGTCCCTATGACGCAGCATTGGCAGGGATATACGATGTGTATTAATTTGTAATTTATCTAGTAATGTGAATTTCAAGGAGTAACCCAATGTGTCGTAATATGTATGGTGCAGTATTGGGTTGTATCTCTTACACCAAATTGATAATCATGTCAAATATTGTAGGTCATTGAAATGTCGGGGGTTTGTGCTGCATCTGACATTTGGAGTGTTGGTTGCACGGTGATTGAGCTTCTCACATGTGTACCACCTTACTATGATCTCCAGCCAATGCCCGCTCTCTTTCGGATTGTGCAGGTAAAGTATCAGTTAATTTGTTATCGTCATATAATTTCAATCTTTTTTTTTTTTTTGCGGCAAAGATGGCATTGCACTTCCATATTTTGGAATTTCATGGTGGTTTAAGATCCCGCTGTTTACTAATCCACGATTATCAAAATAAAAAAAAAAAGAAAGGAAGAAAGACAATGAGATGATTACAAGAGAAAAAAATTCTTGATACATTCTTCCAGAACTAATGGATGGGGACTCCTAAGTTTTTCTTTTATGTTCCTTTAAATTAAAAGAGTTTTGCTATTTTAATTCTTGTTTTCCAGGATGAGCATCCTCCAATTCCCGATAGTCTATCTCCTGCTATTACTGATTTCTTGCGTCAGTGCTTTAAGAAGGTGAGCAGGAAAAATTTAGATTTCATTTACTTATGTGTAATGGTTTTTCCTGTTTCATATTTCAAATTGATTTTGGGCTTGCTTCAGTTACATAATTAATCGCAAGGCTTTTACTTGCTTGTATATTACAAATTGACTAGGCCATGAGAAAATGATGTACTGAAGACTGGTCAAACAAGATCAAGGGAAATTTGTAATAGGAATGGGTACACTAGCAACTAGATCATAAAACGAAAGGAAAATTAAAATAAGAGGATAAACATTATTCACATCCTAATTCCACCTTTTTTTCCCGTCAAACGAGCAAACACATGGTGAAATGCAATTGAAATTTGCTCACTTCCTCTATATGCAATGTGAATTAATGTTAATTCAAGTAAACGTACCATTTAAGTTGCTGGTTCATATGTTGATAATTTGATGGGAATTCACAATTTAGTAATTAATGAACTGAATCTAGCCATGATAGAATTGTCACTCCAGTGGTTAGATGTGATAATCTTTTTGGCTCTCTTATCCTAACTCAATTGTTACAATCCAATTTTAGCTTGTTTTACTTGTATCCAGATTCTTGGGTGATACCATTTTGCTAGAGACTCTTGCACGTCTTTCTTATGTTGGTAATTTTATATTTGACAAAATAGTGTCGTTTGCTCAGTTTTGGAAGTTGTGAGTAACACCGATGCCATATCTGTGTCATTTTGCATTTTAGTTGCTCCACTTGATATTTAAAATAACGTTTCAGGATGCTAGGCACAGGCCAGATGCAAAGACATTACTTTCACATCCTTGGATACAGAACTCAAGACGGGCTTTGCAGACCTCTCTCCGCCATAGTGGAACACTAAAGTAATGTTCTCACTGATTCTTTCCCTCCCTCTTTATCTGAAACACTTGAATATTGCATTTTCATATGAAAGGGTGCTGATTTAGACTCGTGTATTATATCAAGCGATGGTTGCTGGTTTCAAGGGATTCGAGTACAATTTTAATGTTCTTTATACTTCTCATATTTGCATACGTAACATACTTTTCAACTCATAAATTTTCCATGGAGATGAAACAATAAAAATTTAGTCGAGTAATTAGATTAGTTATTAGTACCCTAACCACTTGATCCCTTAAACCTTATGATGCTCCTATATATCGTTTCCAAGCTTCTAAACCTGTGGGAGAGAGAACCCATTTTTGTTCTTCACAGATCTTATAAGAAAGTTCCCCTGGTGTGTGTGTGTGTGTGTGTTGAGAATTGGTCATGTCTCCTTTGATACCATTAATAATCTCCTTGAAGCATTATGGCATGGGTTCCGGTGGATCAAGGGAAGAACTTTAGTTGCTTTTTGTATTTTTGGTTTTCCAAGAGATGTATTTTCTATCAACTTAGCTTCTTCATTTGTTATCAGTGTCATAATTATTGATGTAATTTTAATACTGGATTGAAGTATTGAGCATATTAAAGCCTTTGTAATTTTGCAGAAACATCGACGAAGTTGCATCTGGTGATGCAGAAAGATTAAACAAAGATGGGCAAGGGGATAAAATTGAAACTTCTTCTGAGAAAGTAATTTTTGTTTGAAACTTTCTGTCTTCTAACACGATTGTCACTGTATATTGAGTTCATTGTTTCCTCTCGTTTTTGTGTTGAATCAGTAAATTATCATTGAATGGTATTACTTTTGTCGTTTATTGTTTGTATTTTACTTTAATAGCTTGTCGTGGATGTCAGGAATCCAAAGCAGCTTTACTATCAAAGGTTACTTCAGGGACCAGCAAGTCTCTTGAGGAGGATAATCCTACTGTTGATCTTGTTGAGGAAAAAATTCGTAACTTTGAGGATGAGATGACATCAGATCAAATTCCCACATTTGCTCTCTATGAAAACTCTCAAACACAAAGTTCCGTTAGACTTGGGGATAATAGCGAGGCATCAGTCTCCAATTTGTTGGAATATGAGTCGTCCAACTTAGATCAACAGAACAGAGCAATGGTAAATGGTGAGCTGGAATCTCCCAAGTCTAGAAGGAAAATTGCTGTAGCTAGAAAAGATGAAGGAAGGGGCAGTTCTGTTCCTGTCGAGCAATTTGATTTTGGGCCAAGGAGCCAAGATTATGGCCCTCAGAAGGTAAAGCTGTGCCATTTGCTGTCATTTTTTCCTGCCTTATTGTAGATAAGGAATCCATATAATTGTTGCAATTACTCGTGTTGAACAATTATCTTGACTGTGGAGATCGACAGATCATAATAGGATATTGATTGATGTCCTTGTTATCAAAATTAATGTATTCCTCTCTATTTTGGTACGAAAAACATCCACTTCACTAAATGAGTTGTTTTGATATTCTATTACGACAATATAATACTCTATTAATGAGACGAAACTTTAAAATTCTGGCATTGTTGCTAAAAGCAAGAGGTTTTGGATTTTATTTTTTTTACTTCTTTAGAGAAGTTCAATTAAGCTAGATATTTTAAGTACAAAATCTAGGCAACCAGATGCCTTCAGTAAATTATTTTAGAAACCAACACTCTTGTATATTTACGGTGCTTCTCTCTGCTTAAGGGGATGCATTTTCAATTCATCATATACACTTTGTTTGACACGTACTCAATTGCTTATAAGAACCCACTATCCTATGTTATCTCTCTTTTTACATCTATAATACAACTAAGGCCCGTTTGATTCTCATTATTGTAGAATGAGAATGAAAAATATAACTGTAATTGGGCCCCACACAAGAGATAGAAATTCAAAAAAATTGATGGCTTAATGTGATGGATAACGGTCATATTTTTCATTTTTATGGATGAAAAATGAGAAACAAACGGGGGCTAAAAGGATACTTGTTACCATGATTAGTCGTAAATTAATTTTAAATATCACATCTTTTCATTCCTACCTAAATAGTCACGTGAACTTAAACAAAGATATTCATTTAATGAAGGAGGGTGTATATGATATGTGGTTCGGAAGGTGATGATCTCCTATGTTGATACTTGTCTGTGTACTGGCTGTCCTTCTCTCCATCTCTCGCTGAATATTGGCTGTCTGGTTCTCACTCTCTAATTTAGAAGTTGTTACCATGAAATGATAGTGATGCTTGTGGAATTTCAATATAAGAGTACTGCTTGGTCTTATACAGCCTTTTGCATGCTTAAAGGTAGCACTTGACAGTTAATAGATAGAATATTATGACTGTTAGAGATTGTAGGAGATTTATTTTCCTTTTCTATGTATTCCTTTTGTATTATAAATAGACCTCTTTCATTGTACATTGTAAGAGTGGAAAATAAAAGATATTTTTCCTAGTCTCGTTGGTCATCTTCTACATAAATAGATTCTTTATTTGTTCCTGTCTTATCTTCTGATCAAAATAATTTTTGAGATGTAGAGTTGTCCAACTCATATAGTCAGTTATTTTCCCACTTCAAGTTCTATGAGTAGCTCTTCTACTGCATGCCAATTTACTCAGGTTGCTCATTACCCAGAATAATGTTATACGCCACAATATCCTCCGTACGAGTTCCAAGCTCGTTTTATCTGTCTTAATTTTGCATCACATGTTGCTCTGTACTATTCTATATATTTTCTTTTATTCCACGTACATTTTATATAACGTTATTAATCTTATTTGTCCATGCAAAGGCTATGAAGTCATCAACAGTTTCAAGTGGAAATGAGCTGAGTAGATTTAGTGACACTCCTCGTGATGCTTCTTTAGATGACTTATTTCCACCGGAGGATAGGGTAGGTAAAGCCTCTACTTCTGTAACCTCGTCACACGTAAATGGACGCAATGCTGCCTCTGACAGCGGAAATAGTGATCTGGCGACAAAGTTAAGAGCAACGATTGCTCAAAAGCAAATGGAGAATGAATCAACACGGGCAAATGGTGGTGACTTACTTCGTATAATGATGGATGTTTTAAATGAAGATGCAATTGATATCGATGCTTTGGTATGCTTGACATCTTGACTGGCTTGGTCAAGTTTTTGTTTTATTCATCTCTGACAGTTCTGTTTTCTGTAATCTTTGCATGTTAGGGGTTTGATGATAAATTGCCTGCAGAAAATCTCTTTCACCTTCAGGTATTTGTACTCTTATTGCCAAATTTCATTTTTAGTAGCTGCTGGTCTTGGTCTATTTTATGGTTTTCATGTTATATTAATTTTTTGCGGAACAATATAATTGAACTTAGCATGTGTTCTTTCAATTATCCATTGAAGGAGAAACATCTTGCGTGCTTAATTTTTGCTATGTGGTTAGAACAAATTTCTCCAAATAATATATGCTCATACTGGAAAGTATACAGTTTTCTAGATTAGAAAATTTGGTATGTACAAGCTGCCTTGATTTCTTATAATCTTTATTGTTGCTGTATATACTATTTTTACAATTGTAAAGTAGATCTTTGTTTAGTTTGTTAAGTTAAAAATGTGCGCAGGCTGTTGAATTTAGCAAATTAGTGTCATCATTGAGACCAGATGAACGAGAAGATGTCATTGTATCTTCTTGTCAAAAGTTGACTGCTTTCTTTCAGCAACGGCCGGAGCAGAAAATTGTTTTCATCACGCAACATGGTTTGCTTCCTCTAATGGAATTACTTGAGGTTCCACAAACTCGTGTATGTAGTCCTTACCAAGCTCAAAGTCTGTTGTTGTCACCTACTGAATTATGTGATATAATGTTACTTGCATTACTTCTACAAAATTTCAGGTCATTTGTTCAGTGCTGCAAGTTCTGAACCAGATAATCAAAGATAATACCGACTTTCTGGAGAATGCTTGTCTTGTCGGTCTAGTAAGTATTTTTAGCATTCTTTTCAGTAGCATCTCTCTATTTGGTGAGAATTGGTGCAATCCATCATTTGATGATTTTTGTTGAATGTTGTTGCAAGTGCTGTCAATTGAATTCCATCCACATATATAGTTTTTTCACTTGCCTTCCAAAAGAATCCACTATTTTTTTCTGTGGATCTGTGTAGAATAATTTCAAATTTCTAACACTTGCCGTGTCAAGTGCCTATTCACGAGACAGACAAGAGATGAGTTAAGGCAGTTACTTCTAGTATTTTATTTTGCTTTGTTCTCATACAAAAGGCTATAAGAGTGAGAGTGAAGGTGGCTTTTATTTTATCTATATTTTAAATTTGTTCTGTTTCTTTCTTCTCTCTTTTCCCTTCCTTTCAGATTACAGTATCATTTCTTCTTTACTTAAAATGGCAGAACTGCTTTTCAACTTATTGCAACATTCTTTAGAACTTGTTTTGATTGCTGTAAGATATTGCTAATTTTAAACTTGTGGTTTTGGATATACTATAATATTGACCATTCTTAAGAAGAAAATTCAGACTTCATCTCTATTGATTTGCCTATCGATGGTAAGAAGAGTAAGATAATTCATAATTCCATTTATTCATTTATCTTATCGAACTCCCTACAGTGAAAACTTTATATGTGATGTGTTGGAGCATTACTATTATTTTATTCAAATTTTGATTCCAAGTCAACAAGAATATAGGTGCATCCAAGCTTTCGTTTGTTCCAAAGCCCAGACGGAAAAAGACAAGTTTTCATTGATGGAGAGTCTTTCATTTATGTTGTCTTACATTAAAGTGTTTGCAGTATATGTTCAAAAGTGAATGCGTGTTTGAGAATCTCATCCCGGCTTCCTCTCTGTCCCTATTTTAAATGATATTAGTATATGCAATGCAAACAAAACATCTCATTAGCATGAGCTGCTATAAAGGTCCGATTTGAACGACTATAATTAAGAAGGGATCTTTGAATGTCAGAATATAAAACCTTCGTTTTTCTTTTGATATTTTTATGTTGGAAGATTTGAAATTTATGTCAGCTCCCACATATATATTTTATAGTTGTAGAATATCTTGTCAAGTCCTAGAAATCTGGCAGTTTACTTTATATCCTACTCTAGAAATTTAGTTAAATATTTGTACTCTACTTAAAATTGCAACTTCTTCAGCAGAAGATCATAGGATTCAATCTTTCTCCTACAATTCCTCGTGTTATCAAAGCAGTGTAGCGTTCTTTTTGTCTTCATTGTTTCTATTTTCTTCTCTTGGCTATCACCTTACAATCCTTGGTTTTTAAGTATTCGTTATTTTTTTCCAAGATGTGTTGTTCTGGCCTTCATAGCCTTTTCAGTTGCTTTTCAAGCTTGTGGCAAATATGGAAAAGGACTCTGTCTTCCACCATAGATGACACCAGCAACTCACGGGATTCTGCTGTAGAAATTCTGCCATGGTCGTGGCAAGGCCTGATCTAAATTCAGGGGAGAACAAGGTAATGGATAAGGAAAGATTCTAGTATAATTACTGCCACGAATGGAGGAACTCCAAAGGCATCTTGTGGAAGTTAAGCGGGACGCCTCAGAATGGATCAAAATAAAAGGAGAATTGTTAGATTTATTGAGATCTAAATGCGAAAAAAGTCTAGTAAAATTGGATAAAGTAGTTGAAGCTTTAATAGAGTGGAGTGATTGCAGTAAGGTAATAGAGGTTGGAGGTAAGAGAACACCCAATGATGAGCATTTTCGATATTTAGATTCAAATTATTAGGGAAAGGAATATTGGAGATGATGTTAAACTCAAAAATATCATGTTGGTTAGGTTAAGTGGAGGAGTGCCATGGCTGCATGTGATTGATAAATCATGTAAAATTAAAATTAAAGTTTGTTTGATTGCTATTACATTTTATACGACTAAATATAGGTTGTTTTTCATTTGTTACTGAATGTAGGTTATTAAGTAACGATAACTTATAAATGGAGTGAACCCTGAGGGATTGCTCAATTGGTCAGGCCTTGGGTTTGCTCCCCACTGGTCACCAGTTCGTGTCCCCTCAAGGCCACTGAGGTGAGTACCCGGCCGTAAACTTCAGGGCCCCGTGGAATTAGTCGAGGTGTGCGCAAGCTGGCTCGAACATCCACGGTTATCAAAAAAAAAAACTTATAAATGGAGTGTAGCTAGCATAATGTTAAGATGGTTTTGGAGTAAAACACGAGGAGATAAGATAAGAAATGAGCAATGTTGCTAGTTGGTCAAGGTAGTGCTTTTTGAAGATAAATTGCGGGGAGCTCTTTGAGATAATTTGGGCATATTTAGTGAACGACATTGAGTGAACCACTTACGAGAATTGATGGAACCTAGAGAAAATGTTGACCTTGAACCTTGAGGGGTTGCTCAATTTGTCAAGCCTTGTGTTTGCTCTCCAGTGGTCATCAGTTTAAGCCCCCTCAAGCCAATGAGGTGAGTATCCTGTCGTAAACTTAAGGGCCTCTTGGAATTAGTCGAGGTGCGCGCAATCTGGCCCAGACATCCATGGTTATCAAAAAAAAAAAGAAAAATGTTGACCTTGAACTGCGTGGACTAAGATAACTAATAATACTTGAGCCTTTCTGGATTAACTTTGGAGATGACACTTGATCCAACGGAGTGGAAGTTGAAAATCCATGCAGCTGTTACCCAGGCTTTGTCAATTTAAATTACGTTTTGAACTTGGATCTCCATTTACTAGATTCAATTCAATATACCGACTAGTAATTTTATGATTGATTCTGGTTCTGATTTACATTTTTATACATTAATAGATTTTTCATGGTTACTTGTATTCATGATATAATTGTTGAAATTTGTGTAGCACATATTTTCCTGGGAAATATTTGTTGAACTGAATAAAGAATAAAAATTTCAATATCACATGTTTTCTCTTTTCTTGAATGTGAGATAAAGCTGAGGTAACCCCTGCTTACTTTTCTGAATTGAAAATCTCAATGACCTAAGCTTGTCCAAATATGATGATGGCTATTATGATTTGTTTTAGTGACTAACATCTCTTCAAATGCATGTTAAATAACCAGCTAAGAGGTTTAATGTTTGAAAAGATTCTAACATCAATGTTTTTGTTTACATATTAGATTCTTATTGGACTAATACCAGTATTGATAAGGAAATTTCTCCTCTGTGGCAAATCTTAGCTTTTGTCTGAAATTGATATTTGGAAGTCCAATTCATTGATCTTCAAAATGCAACCCATCATTCCTCCTGTATTACTCCAAACTTCCAACTTCACGTACCAAAGGAAAAGGAAAAAGATGAAATTTGTTACCCTCTTTTATAAAGCTTCTTGGTGTTTGAATATTGCCTAAATTATGGTCCAGATCCCTGTTGTGATGAGCTTTGCCATGCCTGACCGTCCCCGGGAGGTTCGCATGGAAGCAGCTTTCTTTTTGCAGCAGCTCTGCCAATCAAGGTTAGGTTTCTTCCTACTGCAGTTTGATTGATAATCTAAATTGTTTTTATTCCAGAGAATAAGATTATTCGTTTTTTCAGCTCATTGACATTGCAGATGTTTATCGCTTGTCGTGGCATACCAATCCTGGTGGGCTTTCTGGAGGCTGATTCTGCAAAGTACAGGTTGGGAGTTTGTATACTTCAAATGAATATTCCAACATTTACATGCTTATTTTCTTCTGTTTATTGAAGTAGCGACAATTGAACATATGTTAGGGGAGAAAATATTAACATGGTTTGATCATATCCAAAAAAGGTTGCTAATGCGTTGGTAAGAAATTTGATCAGTTATTTAGGGTAAATGCAGGGGAAGATGTTTTAAAAATCACGGGGTACAAGGAAATTGAAAAGGATTTTCATCCTTCATGGTCTACCTTTCAGATGACCTTGGAGCTGAGTGGGAAATTAATTATCCATGTAATCGACCTAGGAAGATGACCTTGTGACTAGGCTGTTGATGTCAAAAAAATCTTATAGATGAACTTATTGCTCATGTATGGAGTTTCTCAAGAATTAAAAAATATTTACTCATGGAACATTACTGCACAAGCTAAATGATTTTTATTTCTCTCTTTTAGACTTAACATGGATTTCTTTTTATTCTTTTTGTCTTGCATTTATTCTATCCATACAAGTTTTATCAACTTCAACGACTTGCAATCAAACTCATTTACCTTCTTTTGTAAATGTATTGACTAATTTACTTTATTATTATTTTATCTAGGGAAATGGTTCATATTGCTATTGATGGCATGTGGCAGATTTTCAAGCTTCAGAGGTCCACCTCAAGAAATGACTTCTGTCGTATTGCTGCCAAGAATGGGATATTACTTAGACTTATCAATACTCTTTATAGCTTGAACGAGGCAACACGTATGGCTTCCATAGCTGGTGGTGGTGGGTTCCCTGCAGATGGGCTAGTACCACGACCACGATCTGGTCCTCTTGATTCTAGCAGTCCTTCCTTTGTGCAGACGGATACACCATTTTACGGAATTGACCGGCCCGATCATCTTAAAATGAAACGAGATCATGTATCACTACCAGGAGTGCAAGAACCTTCACGAACATCAGTATCACATTCACCTGATTCACGATTCTTTGCTCCAGATGCTGATAGACCTCAGTCAAATATTGCTAATGTGGAGGCTTCTGGTGCTTCAAAATTACCAGATTCTGCAGGTTTGGACAAAGGAACCAATGCTGCGTCAAAGAGAGAGTCTCGAGCTGAAGTTGAACTGAAACAGCAAAGAGGCTCAAATGCAGGAAGTATAACATCGACAGATAGGGCCCCAAAAGTTGTGGAAGGGGCATCAAATGGGTTTTCTTCAGCTACTGCTACTCAACAAGAGAATGTTCGACCGCTTCTCAGTTTGTTGGATAAGGAGCCTCCATCACGCCATTTCTCCGGTCAGCTTGAGTATGTACGTCATCTTACTGGGTTGGAGAAGCATGAATCTATACTACCTCTTTTACATGCATCTGGTGACAAGAAAACAAATGGGCTGGACTTTTTGATGGCTGAATTTGCAGGTATTTGGTCTGTCTGGTTTTCATGATTGCGTCTGCATTAAACCACTCCTTGGAAGCATATCATTCCCAGTAAAGAAAGCCATTGTGCGTAATAAATTAGGCCAGCGTTTTGGCATTGATTCTTGGATCTATTTCTCTTGCTCTACTATTTTCTCTGTAGCTTGCATATTGATTGATATTTTTTTCTTTGCATTCAAGTTAATCAACAATATGTTCCTGATACTTGTTAATATTTTCCAGAGGTATCTGGGCGAGGGAGGGAAAACTCTAACATGGAGTCATTACCTAGAAGTTCACCTAAAACTGCGAATAAGAAGTTGGGATCCCTGACATCTAATGGCGGAATTGCTTCCACATCTGGACTTGCATCTCAGACAGCATCAGGTGTGTTGTCTGGTTCTGGAGTTTTAAATGCTAGACCAGGAAGTGCAACGTCATCTGGGTTACTATCCCACATGGTATCATCTTGGAATGTTGATGTAGCTCGGGAATATCTGGAAAAGGTAGCAGACCTTCTACTTGAGTTTGCTGCCTCTGACACAACAGTAAAATCTTACATGTGTAGCCAAAGTTTACTTAGTCGTCTTTTCCAGATGTTCAATAAGATAGAGCCTCCAATTCTTTTAAAGGTAATGCAAGGGATTATATGTTGAACACTCTCTCTGATTTTTGCTGTGGTCTGATCACCCTCACTAATTTCTTTTGTCTTGTAGTTGTTGAAGTGTATTCATCATCTGTCCACTGATCCTCATTGCTTAGAAAATCTTCAACGAGCAGATGCAATAAAGTATTTGATCCCTAACCTCGATCTCAAAGAGGGTGACCTTGTATCCCAAATACATCATGAGGTAAGGTGTTGAAGCAATAAAAGTAAAATAAAATAACATTTAATTTTCATAGAACTGAGCAACCATAATATCAAACATTACACCAAGGCTTTGCTGATTTTTTGCCAATAATAATGATGATGATGATGATATCAAACATTATCTACTAGAGTACCTCAAGGGAAGGCATGTAACTTACATCCTTCCAGCTTAAGCATTGTTGAATATTGTCTCACTGGATTAATTGTTGCAGGTTCTCCATGCATTGTTCAATTTGTGCAAGATTAACAAGCGGAGACAGGAACAAGCAGCTGAAAATGGAATTATTCCACACTTGATGCAATTTATCATGTCAGATTCTCCATTGAAACAATATGCATTACCGCTGCTATGTGATATGGCCCATGCGTCACGTAATTCAAGGGAGCAATTACGGGCTCATGGAGGACTTGATGTGTACCTTAGCCTTCTTGTAGACGAGTTTTGGTCTGTGACGGCATTAGATTCAATAGCTGTATGCTTGGCCCATGACAATGAGAACAAGAAAGTGGAGCAAGCTTTGTCGAAAAAGGATGCCGTACAGAAACTGGTTAAGTTCTTCCAGTGCTGTCCAGAGCAGCACTTCTTGCACATACTGGAGCCTTTCTTGAAAATTATCACGTATGTCGTTTCTTCTATGAATAAATCTGTTCCACGTCTATGTGAAAAAAAGTTCTCACTCTGTTAAAACCTATAATATAGTTTGTCATTTTTGGTAACGAGAATTTTTTTTCAAAGCTCATTTGATCTCACTTTATATACTTCTGGAAAATGTTTTTAAGATAACGCTAAAACTGAACTGAAAAGACGTGAGATATTCCTACACAAAACTGTCTGGTTGACCAAAAAGTCCAGCAATTCCCATTTATTTTTAAATGGAAGGAGTGTGTATGTGCATGTGGGTGTCATGTTTTGTGCATATCTAGGCATTTATTTCTCACTATCTTAATTTCCAGGTAAGGAATCTCATCCATTTCTTTCATGCATTGATTTTTGGAATTTGTTTTTTGTTCTATTAGTTGCTTTAGGTGATAGATAAAATGCAAATGGAAGATCTGTTTGTACCTTTTTTTGGGGGTTTCAGAAAGGGGTAACAAGTTAGAACTCATGGTGAAAATCTAGAAAAAATGAACGGAGAGAAATTGTTTATTGTTTTCCTATTTCAAAAAGACTTGAAAAGCAATCAAATATGGGTGTCTCTAAAGCAGTTATGAAGGACAGGTGAGAGGGGTCTCTCCTGTAAGCTTTAGCATCGAAATCAGTTTGGAGGTTAGGCCAAATCAGTTTATTGGCTGATACACAGGTGGAAGTATTGGCTTTGAAAATAACACACTCTTATGGCTTGTTTAGTAGTGCTTTTGAAAAGCCAAAGCTGCTTATGAGACTAAGATTGTGCTTTTGGACATGTTTGGATAATTTTCTGGAACTTCTTTTGGTTAGAAGAACTTTTAGAGGAAGCTAGTCCAAAATGATATCCTCAAGAAGCTCGTTTATAAAAAGCACAAGCAGAAGCCCTACTTGTTTATTGGTTTTGACGGATGGATGACCAAATAGTTTCTCTGCTTTGGATTTCTCTTTATGTTTCTTGTTATAGGGTTATGTCGTGTTATATATTTTGATTGTACAAGCAAATCAAAATCAAAAGGTATCATGCGGTTTACAGATGTTAAGGGCTTTATATTACAGCATGGCCAGAGAGAATTGAAAAGAAACTTAAGCCATTGCACTGCTTCCCTCGGACCTTGCTCCTAGGTCTAGGTTTGCATCCCAAACACAGAAGTGGGTTCAGGAGAGTTGCAGATTCTTTTAAACTACTCTCATGTTGTGGTGAAATCATTGAAATGACCATTTTAGTGCTGGTTCACACCGTAACTAATATAAAAAGAACTACTAGACTATACTAAAAGTTGGTCTCTAAAGTTATCCCAACACTTGCTGCTAGAGACTACTTCATAAAAGTAACTGCCTATCAATGGATTTTCTCCGTAGAAACGAGGACTTACTTTTCGATACATCCCTGAAAATCTAGATATCGATACGTGCCCCTCTACTAAAGACTTAAAATTGTTAAGTGAACAACAGATTTATGTAAAGGAAGGAAAATCAGTTTCTATGACTATTTATCCGCATTAAGCTATTTGGTCAGACTAATCCAATTTTTAGACCTGCACCCATCTTTTAGTTTACCTTTTCTGAGCAATTTTCTAGCTTAAAAGGGGATGTAATTATCACGTTATTCTGCTTTCTATTCAGTTTAAGAAACTCGCTGATGCTTTCTTTTATTTTCATTATTATTATGCAGGAAATCATCTCGAATAAATACCACTCTTGCAGTTAACGGTTTGACGCCACTCCTAATTTCAAGACTTGACCATCCACATGCTATAGCTCGCCTGAATTTGCTTAAACTAATTAAGGTGAGCAAAGGATAGTTCTTATGCTGTATCTGTTGCGTATTACGTAGTTCACTTAATGTCCTAATACCGGTTGTACAATGTTATATTTCTTGGATAGATTAAGTTATTAGTAGACAGGCAGCCACTTATTCTACTTGGTAGAGTGGGGCTTCCTTCTTTGTTTAGTGCTTCCTCCCTGCCCCCCTCGTCTGCTAAAATGGATGAACCTAAATAGAAATGATTTGCCATTTTTTCATTTTTATTTCTACCTCCGTTGTGACAGGTTTAAGAACTTGTGTACAGCGTGTCATTCTTTGGTACGACTGATTTGCATACTCACCAGCCGTCTTGATTTATAAAGAATACTAGTCAAAATACCTTTTTATGGGATACTCATCAATTACTTGTCTCCGCATTTCACTATTTCCATAGAATATTTCATATTACATGCGATTTTCAGGTAACCAGATATTAGTTTCATGTGACCTTTGGATATTTATATTGATTGGTTCAGTAAGATTCTTTTGAGAAGTTTTTATTTGATTTTGTTTGTTGTTGTGAGCTCATTGAATTTAGTAGTTGGGACCGGGTACTTCTCTAGCAATTTGTGATCATGGAAGTTAATAGTACAATTTGACAGCAATTTAATAGCTTTCTGTTGAATCAAGTAAAATACTATACATTGGGCACTCGAGCTTGTTACCTTTCGATGATCGACTCTTTGGTTGGTTGTTTGTCAGGCTGTTTATGAGCACCACCCTCGTCCAAAGCAACTGATCGTAGAGAATGATTTACCTCAGAAGCTTCAAAATTTGATCGAGGAGCGAAGAGATGGGCAGAGTTCTGGTGGCCAAGTCCTGGTAAAACAAATGGCTACTTCATTACTCAAAGCACTTCATATCAACACAGTTTTGTAAATTGTTGCTTCGTCATATTTTACATGTTTGTTGCAATTTTTAAAAGTTTTAATATTTTGTTTCCATTTTCTTGAAATCAATTTTAAGTGGAAATTATTTTTCAGCTGTCCCATATGTTTAGTAATTTGGCATCAATCGTAACCTCTGTTTATATACTGCTATATAAAGTCTGCTACCTATGGGTAATGTTGACTAGATTGATCTCTACTTTAATTCGATTATAATCTGTCACTTTAACTAGGTTTTGTTTCACATTAATTGCTAAATCGATGTAATGTGTCCCATTTGAAAATGTCTTGGCTTGATGATATAGGTAGATGATTTCTGAGTTGCAATGAATCTGACATAGGTCAATGAAAAACAAATTTTGTTGTTTGGTGACTAATGTCGAATAAAATTTATAGTACGTGAAATATTTTATCTTCAATATTCATATTCGGTGGGAACATTAAAATGTTCAGGAATCTCCTAAGAATCGTGCTTAGTTGGCAATTAAAATAAAACGAATTTAAGTTTTTACCCACCTATTAAATTAAAATAAATCCATCACAATTAGTGACCAACTATATGAAGAGTTATTTTCATTTCTTCTTTTCCTTTACGCCAATTCTAGAATTGCTTTATGTAAATCTATATGGAGTTTGTTCTTGCGTTTGTATTTCTTTTGGCCACAAACACGGGTTGGTTTCGCGAAAAAGTGAGCTTGCAGGCTCCTCTCACTCTTTTCTACCACGCACATTTTCAGTATCTTAAGTCAATGTTTGATGGAGATCTTTAAGTAGATTTTAATAAAAGTTGATGAAATGTATGGTTAAAAAATTGTGAGTTTCATACAATAAATTAGTTGTTAAATTTGACTTAGATTAAAATTTCAAAAGGGGGCTAAACGTTGAAGCAGGTAACGCGAGTCAGACGTGTTTATTGTTTATGTGAGTCTATATCTGACATCTTCAGTCAATTGGACATTGGGTTGCTTCTTCGTCATCTATTTGATCTGTAAGCTACAAACGCCTTCTCAACGAACTTTCGAAGAACTTTCAAGTCAAATCAATCCGAATAAAAAATAAAATTTGCCCATGGATTTTGGATATTTTTTATTAGATATACAATTTTCGCACTCTTACCCATCACTTTAATTGGGTATTCAGGCTAGTGCAATTTATCAATCTTAATATTCTTTAGATATTCCAATTTCGAGGAATTAACTTATTCATTGTCAATTTTGAATCAAACCCATAATATAGAGTATTCTGGAAAGGTATATTTGATTGAATTATGTTGTACACATTGATTTCTATATCACGACTGAAATAATTATTACTACACTTGATTGTCGTATAGTTTATCCGTGAACTTGATGTTATTTGATGTGTCAATAATTGTAATGAACATTTTAGAACGCAATATTATGATGAAAACCATTATAAAGTACTAATTAATTGAAAGTCGTCAACTTATTTTCCAATAACATTTGCACTCTGAAAATGTGCAAAAATAATTTCACACATTTTTAGGTGTATTTAAAATATTCTTCTGTCAACGTAAACTACGAATTTTACAGATATATAACCTTTATATATATATATATACATACATATAAAATGACTAGAAAGGCAATAATATTTGAACGGAAAAAAAGTGTCAATTAGAACGAAAAAAAATACGAGAGAAAAATTCCACTTCCAATCTCCGCAGTGGGAGAAAATTTAGAAGGGGTAGATACGAAATGAAGCCTCTAACACAAGGTCTCCTTGAAAAAAATCTCACCAGAATTCATTACATTCAGAATAAAAGAAAGGCATAAATGTGAATCCTTTATAACATCTCCTCAACATAACAAAAAATATTATACCGCAGTCTTAGAAAAAGTTCGATCCAAACACAGATTTATGACTCCTACAAAGGATTTAAAGCGGCCCTCCAAAACCCAACAGGCATAGTGTCGGGTCGGGTGTGTATTCCTAGTCATCACCAAATGTAGTCTTCTTCCCTGCACCTATAAACATCAATTGCAAAACGTTAAAAAAGTTCCTAGTTCAATATTTCAAACACTTCTTATTTTCCGAACAGAATTCGGTGCAGCTCAGGGACAACAGAATGTTCTATTCATCTAGAAGGATCATTCGATAATGTTCTATTGTACTGACACAGAAGTACTTACCAGCAGCAAACATGCTTGGCTTCCCAGGAGTTCCACGTCCTCTTCCTCCACCTCCAAAGCGACCACCACCTCCACTTCCAAAGCGACCACCACCACTACGGCCACCTCCAAATCGACCACCACCACTACGGCCACCTCCAAATCGACCACCAAAGCGACCGCCACTATCCCGGCCACCACTCCTGCCACCTCTGCCACCACCAGCACTATCACCTCTAGGCTTAGCCTCTTCCACTGACAGAGAACTCTCCCCGAATTCAGATCCATCAAGTTCCAGAGCTTTGTTGAAGGCGGCATTCTCCTTAAAATCAATATAGGCTATCCTGCAATCAGGACAGGAATAAGTTGATTGTTGGAAGGAAAAAAAAATAATAGAAGGTCCAGTTCTAAAAGTTTGTTGTTATTCAATAACCAACAGAGGACAATATTTTAATGCACAACACTAGAACATAATTATACTACAATGATAAAAGATGACAATATACAAACCCTTTAACACCACCATCCTGATCTTTTGGAATGGAAACCCTTGTAATTTCACCGCAGGAACCAAAATGATCTTCAAGAGAACCTCTAATCTGAAATTCACATGACAAAGATTCAGCAAATACACCAACAGAGGAAGTTATACAATTTTAAATCTCACGTGACAGAAAATAAATGGATGTGCAACACATGCCTTGTCTTCACCGTCATATTTATCAAAACCACGAACAAATATTGTTTGCCCTTGAGGCCTCCCTCCCTTCTGGAATGAGTTCGTCTCATTGCCACTAAAATTAGAAAAATATTATAATACAATAATATGGAACTGAAACCATGTAATGAATAAAAAAATTGGATAACAGATGCCATACCCACTTGGAGTGTATGATCCCCTTTCCTTCGCCATATCTAGTCTCACAGGACGACCAAGCAGATCTTTACCATTCAATTCACGGAGGGCCTGCAAATTAATATACGCAAATAGATAATCGATTAACAGGATGCACTAATATGGATATAACTAATGAGATCTCCCAAAAGCCTGCCAAAGCATGATGTGCAAGATGAGATGTAAGTACCTTCTCTGCTGCTTCAGCAGTAGCAAACTCAACATGGCCAAAGCCCCTAAATGAATTATCTTCAGAAGACGTGGCAAAGCGAACATCAAGAACTTCACCAGCATCTTTGAAAAAATTTTCACTGCAAAGCTTTGAACAAATGTTAAAAATATATAAACAAATTTAAAATAAATTCAAATATTTAGGAAATGTTATACTTACACATCTGCCTGCTCAATTGAGTAGGAAAGATTCCCCACAAATAGAGATTTGGGGCCTGTGTTTTGCGCTGTAGGAGTAGCAGGCGTCTTGGGCTGCAAATATAAATATGCCACTATTTTAAGGAAAACACGAGTATACTGAAACTACAAGGATCCACTTCCCCCAAAGTGGATTATTATTTATTTCTTCTCATTACTTAATTTTTCTAAAAGGCTTAGTTTCGCAATTTTGAATCTCTTCATTTCAGAATGTTAAGAGCAACTTCCCAGATGAACTCCAAAAAGATGCTCTTAACCGGTATGGAGGAAGCATTATTTATTTACGCAACTGAAAGTGCAAACAAGAGTCAAGCGAAGAAAAACTACTTACAGTCTCCTTTGATGGAGTCGTTTTCACACCAGCATCCTGTTTCATCAAGAAAACCTAGTATAAGGAGATGAATACTAAGAATATAGATCAAAATTTCCAGGTATTAGCCACGCAGCATATGCGGCTCAATATGCACAACCAAAACTGCATGTTCAAGTATGCTCGACTAGATCATACATTAACTAGTTTTTTCATGTAACGTCATCGAAAAGGACAAAGAGAGTTACAGAACTTCCATTGCAAACATTGCATAACAGCTTGTTAGACAAGGAAGAAGAGAAAATTAACATAGTAGGACTTGTCAGTTAAATGAAAATATCTTCTACCTTTTTCTTGGGAGTTGTGGAAGGTTTCTCTTCTTCCTCCGATTCTGAAGACTCTTCCTCTGAACTGCTATCCTTTGAAGCAGAAATAGACTACCAACAATAAAATGAGTAGTGGATAAGCGGGTACTAGTACCATTTGCATAAAATTTTATGCAAATACAAAATTACCCCGAAATTATACTTATGCATAATACCTTCTTTACCCCTTCCATTTTTGATGGTTCATCATCATCAGAGCTTTCCTCTTCACTGCTACTATCATCCTCTTCTGTAGCTTTTAAGCTAGGTTTAACAGCATTTGGAGTTGCAGGGATCTGAAAGATATGAAATTTCACAATCACATACAATGACAGATTAAAATTTCAACCATGAGAGTGAATATATATATCGACCACATACAGGAACTTTCAGCTTTTTCTGTTGAGGCTGTTCATCATCACTTTCCTCAGAACTGTCAGAGTCTGATTCCTCACTGGAATCCTTTTTCTTCTTTGTAGCAACCACTGAGCCATTTTTAGCTGCAGGAACATCTTCATCTGAGCTTTCATCTTCACTGCTCGACTCATCCTTCTTTGAAGCTGCAACAGGGGTGTTTTTAGTCACAGTAGCAGGAACTTTCTTGGTTGCTGCAACATCATCATCCGAGCTAGACTCATCTTCAGAATCAGAATCATCACTTGACTCATTTTTCTTCGTTACTGCAACATTGCTGCTCTTAGCTGCAACTGAAGAAGGCATCTTGAGTGCACTTGCATCCTCTTCTGAATCACTAGTTTCATCATCAGAGTCAGACTCTACAGTTCCATTCTTAACAGCCACCACAGGCTTCTTGGTTGGCACCGGTACCTTTGTTTTAGGAACCTGTATAAGATAACAAACAATGACACATAAAGATACATCAAGACAAATAATAGCAATTGAAACAAAACAAATAACTAACAACATTTCAAAAAATTAACTTGTGAAACTCACTTCATCCTCATCAGAATCGCTATCATCATCTGAACTGCTAGATTGTTGGATATTTTTGGTCACAACATTTCTGGCATCAACTTTTGGGCCTTTAGCTGAGAGGGAAGTAGATTTGGCAACAGGCTCCTGCAAATGTACATATAAGTGAATGAGAGAGAACGTTAATTTTAAAAACTTCAATTAAAACACGACACTATATGGATGTAATACAGTATAAGCAGAAAATCGCTCACATCATCAGAAGACGTTTCTTCTTCAGAACTACTAGATTCTTTCACAGGCTGTTTGACCACTGCTCCTCCCTTCTTACCGGGTGCCTTAACCTAATAATTTATGTATCATAAACATCAACTGAAAGTCTGAAACTAACATGAAGCAACGTCATAGATTTATAAACATAAGAGGCCACAACGCTTTTGCAATTGAGTTTTTCAAAAAGCTAACATTTTACATATAGGTTTAGAAAAATTTACAAAATTTGACAAGAGATTTTTTTTTTTTCAAAAAACTGTCCTCTAGCACAAAGGTAAAGTTCGAAAGCAAAAGGTATAACATAAGTATGCAACTTATAGTCAGACTAATCAAGGCATATAGAAGTTGCAAAAAGGGAATTAAAAGCAGGTGAATAAGGAGAAATACAGCAATAATAATCTTTCATCTCTCACTTATGCATCTTATAGACAGATTGATCAGGTTTTCGAACAAACTAACTAAAAAATAGAATTAAAAGCACAGGAATAGGAAGGAAAAATGCAAATAATAATTTTATCTTAAATAAAAAAAGGCAATAAAAACCTTGAGCTGTTCTTTTGAAGAAGATTTCACTTTCTTTTTGACGATCTTCTTCTGAGCCTTAGCCTCATCCTTCTTCCCCACTTCCACGTCCTTCTTCTGCTTCTTAGCACTCACCAGATGCTTCTCTAGAGCATCCTCAGCTTCTCTCTTACCTATTCATTAAAGAAACCACGACCACACGAAACGTAAAAACAGTAGTAATAATCATCAACAAAAGCCAAAAAGATAAAATCAAACAGAAATAACAAAATTTGAACCTTTTTTCATTGGTTTAGTGGGTACGGCAACAGCGGGAGCTGCATCGACCTGCAATTCGCAAAAATCAAACAATTAAAAACAAAATTTAGACAAAAAAAAATGTAAAGGCTAACAAAATCTACCTTGGAAGCTGATTTCTTATTGGATTTTCCCATTGAAATACTGTAGGCAACTGAAGATATGTGATGAAATAGCAAAACCCTAAGTTAGTAGGGTTTAACGAGACTCCGCTGCCAGATATTTTTGTATCATATAGTATGAGCGTGTTATGAATATATAGAGAAAGAGGGTAAGCAGCGCCGCTTTAGGGTTAGTAATTAGGTTTTCTTTTCCTTCTTTTTTATTTGTTTATTTTTGTTTTTTACTTTCGTATTATCTATCTACTTTTTATTCATATTATGCATGTAATTACAGGAAGCTCATATTTGAGATACATTATTTTTTCATTATCATTCTTTCACTCATTTTCAATCACACATTCTTTAATAAAATAATATTTTTCATCATATCAACAACTTTTCATTCTTTTTTAACCACCCATTTTTCATCTCATCAAAACAAAAAATGCATTTTCGGTGCAAAAATGTGCACCAAACGGGGACTAAGTCATTGTTAAGCCACTCGGCTTTTTCCCAGTATCTGATAGTGCAACAAATTTAGATTCTGTAATTGAGTGTATTATACATGTTTGTTTCTTTTATTTTCAAGAAACAACAGCGCTTTGTAGAGTAAACACCAACCCCAAAATAGATTTACTCTCTCATGTAATAGATATACAACTAGTATTAGTATATCCTTCTAGTATAGTCGAGAGTTTAGTCTATTGTACACCTAAGTTTTTGGTTTTCCTTAAATATCCAAGAATTCTCCTAATGACCTTTCAATGTTCTTTATTCAGATTACTAGTAAATTTACAAAGTTTACTAATTGAAAATGCTATATACCGTTGACATATGGTTGATTTCGAGTTTTGATTATAACAAACAAATTATTCTTATTTCTAACATTTACATTTGAGTTTTCATTGATACATGTTGCGAACCTGATGAAAATCGAGCATTCACAATCAAATTTGGAAATCAAGCACTCACGTCAAAACAATCGGAGACAAATCAAGCATTCGCACCAAATTCAAAATCAAGCAACAAAATGTGCACTCGCGCCAAATCAATCGAAAACATTAGATTTAGATTATTTGAATTCATATGTAAAGGTAAAACTCTTTAATTCTTATGAATGAATCACTATAAGATCGTAAGTTAAATTTTTATGCACTAAATAAACGTTTCTCAAAAGCACTTGCATAAAAATTATTTCCGAAGTTAAAAAAATCTTCACTTACCTTTTTTACTAATGACACTTATTTTGAAAAAGTGAAAATGTCTCTAAAGGATCTGCACTTGCAAAAATAATTAAGAAAATGGTAAATCGGAGATTTCCGATCTGGCGGACGTCCGATAGTCCAATGGTCAAATTTTTAACCGTTCTGATTTCTGACACTCAACGACTAGTTCAGTCGTCCGGTACAGTAGGAGACGTCGATAGGGATCGTCTGGTTGGACAGAAAATTTTACGTTTTTAACTGCTATAAATATAAAGTCACTCACCATTTATTATAACAACTTAAAAGTATTCAAGTGAGATTCTTTTGAGCAAAATTACATTAATTTCTCATATAATTTATTATCAAATCATTTTGGTATTGAAAAACTTTTGATCAAATTAACTCTTGAAAATCATTCTACATATCCAAGTTTTTCATACCTAATATTCGAGTTTCATTCATTGCTATCTATTAAAGTGTTAGCTCATTTCTCTCTTGGCACTTAATCGTGATCATATCATTTATTAAGAGAGAAATTTTCAAATTTGTAAATTCAATTTTCTTTAAACTTCTGGGTCATGTTGAGGTTCCGTAAAGCTAAGCGTTGTAAAAAGATCGGTGATCATTGCCTGTAAGTCATCGAAAGTTTTGTAAATGGTTGGATTGCACAACAAGTCAATCAACATAGTGAAATTGACCTTACTCGTGTTGGAGAGCTTGGTAACGAAGGACGTAGATCATTGTGTTGGATCGAACCTCCATAATTATATCGTTTGCATTCTCTGTCCCTCTTTACTTATTGTTTTTATATTCGTGCTTGTGATTTAAAATAATCTATTTAGACTTTACTTGGTTGAATTTAGATCAACTCTTCGAAAAAATTTTAATAACAAATCTACCATATCTTGGTTAGCTATTCTTGGGCTATCAATTGGTATCAGAGCGAGGTACTCATTTTAAAATTAAGATTTTACAATTTCAAGCAATGGCTAACCACAACAATCTTCAAAATCTCGAGAGGCATTTCATAAATCGACCTCCCTTATTTGATGGTACTCATTATAATTATTGAAAAGTTAGAATGATGATCTACATTCAATCAATATATATAATATTTGGGAAGTCATTGAATATGGTGATTATGTGCCTATCAAGATTATTAAAATTGATGGAAAACTCGATGAATCTATTTCTAAACCTAGAGAGGAATATGATGAAGATGATAAAAGAAAATTGTCTTTTAATGCTAGAGCCAAAACCTATTTTATCGTGCCTTAGATAGAAATGAATTTAACCGTATTAGTACATGTAACTCTGCATACGATAGTTGGCATGCATTAGAAGTCACTCACGTTGGCACAAATAAGGTAAAAGAAACTAAGATTAATCTCTTGGTCAAAGAATTTAATTTTTTTTATGAAACAAGAAGAACCTATTGTTGACATGATTACTCGCTTCACCGATATTGTTAATGGCCTCAAAAGCTTTCATTGTAAACTTACTAACGATGAGCTTGTAAGTACTCAGGCCACTTTAGGTAAATTGGAGCTCATTGAGGATGTTGATAGAAAATGCCAAAGATGTCAACACTTATCTGTTGACCTATGGTTAATTATAATCTTAATGTTTTGATTATAACAAACAACTCATTTTATTTACTAACATTTGACTTGAATGCTTAACTTTCACTTTGTTTTTCATTTCGAGTCCGATTTATAATCTTGATAGCTTTGAAAGCTTAATCACTCAAATTCTAATGTTAGTAAATAAAATAACTTGTTTGTTATAATCAAAACATTAAGGTTTTAATTAATCATAGGTCAATAATTTTCCCATTTTTGATTATGACAAACAAGATGATTTGCAATGTAAGATTTGAACAATTAATATCATATTGATAAACGAATATACATCATAAATTCATCATGTAATTCATATTCCCCATTTCTTTTGCAAATCAACAACTGGACATTTAAAGCATTTTATATCTTCAAATCAAAGCATGCATCATCTCACTCACTCCATTTCCCCCTTTTGACATAAGCAAAAAGGGAAGATCAAAACTTTAAATCAACCATGACAGAATAATATATTTCCCCTCAATTAAGCACAAGATGCAAAAAAATAAAAAAATAAAAAAAATCATCACTTTATAGTAAAATATTAATCAAAGTATGAGTGATGTAAATGAAAAGTAAAATCATTTGAATAGAATTTATATATCCCATTTTTAACATTCCCCCTATCATCAAGTTATATATCTCTTGCTCTTTATCATGCATAATTATCTATTCATCTTCCCCCTTTTGACATAAGCAAAAAGAGATAGCATGTAAGATCAAGGCACAATTTTTTTTTTCTTTTTTTTACATTTACGATAGCACATATGAGAGGAATAGTATTGCATGTAAGATCAAAACTTTTAAATTGACTATAGAGAATAATAATATATTCCTCCTATCATTTTCACTTACATTCTCCCTTTCAATAGGAACCGAGTTTGTGTCTATTTCATATTGCATATAAAGATAGTATAATATTTAGAGACATGCATTTCCACAATTCATTGAAATAAATCACATTAGAAGTCATCACAATTTATGGAAATAATGGAAGTCATAATTCAAGTTATGCATAGATTAGAAGTTATATTTCATAGCAATTAAATCACATACAAAATATAATATCAAGTTTACTTGTAATTTAAAGAAGAGTTAATCATACCTCGATATTATTGTTATGCATATAGAAGTACCTTGATTATCCTTGTCCATTTGATTGATGAGCTTATTGGAGTGTTCATTTGTGTTTACCTCATCTTCAATGGTCATAAAACACATGTTGGCGATTTCTTCTTGACTTTCATCTTCATCATCATCGCTTTCATCTCATGTCGCTTGAGGGCTTTCTTTTTGATGAATCTATTCTTCTTTTCACTATTTTCTTCTTTCTCTTGGAATAGATGTTTTTGGCAAAAACATTTCCGCTTCTTGACAAGAAGAACTAAATCATCAAGTTCTTCATCATTCATATTCTCGCTTGAAGTGCCTTCATCGACTATGGATTTAAAAGCAACTTGGCGTCTTTCCTTTTCTTTGCTTTTCAACGTTTTCTCCTTTGTTTC